GCTGCTAGCAAATACGAATAGTAGCGCTGGTTTGCAGTAGCTGTTCAAATAACAAGCGACCGACGCTACTAATTGTGACCAACGGGATTGATTTATTTAGGATATATAAATTAGAGTTAATCATGTACTACTACAAATTCTTCTTTCTACATCAATTACAATTCCAAAACACCCCCATCGCAGCAAACCTGCAGCCTAAGCAACCTTCCATTTGAATGACTTTATATTCAACTAAATCTATTTGAATAACATTAGGCTTAACGAGTACTAGGTTTGCTGCCTACAGGGGGGTAACGAAGTGTGATTTTTAGGAAAATATTATTAGCTTAGTATAAAATAAATAAATTTGCCAAGTTTGATAAAAATCTATCCATAACAATCAATATTACAACAGTTAAGTTATTCTACTAAAATTATAAGTAAGAAAGTTTGGATGTATGGATGTATGGATGGATGCATGGATGGATGGATGGATGGATGGGTGGATGGATGGATGGATGGTTTGTGACAAGTAAATGCGAAAAATACTAAACCGAAAAGGTTGACATTTGGTATGATGATAGCTGACATTCCCGATTAACATATAGACATATTCTTATCTCAAAATCATATCAGGCTCCGCCCCAGTGGCTCTGACTCTGGAGTTTCTCATGTTAACCTTAATAGTATTCATATTTAAAGGAAATCAAGGGATTTTGTCAGCCGTTTCAACTGCATAAGTTAAACAAGATATTAAATTAACTATGATTTTAAATAGTGTTAAAAAGTTATAAGGCTTACCAACAGGGTGCAGCACTATTATGTTTTTTGCATTTTATGACAACAGCTAATTTGTATCAACTAGCTACAAAAAGTTGTGGTACACAATGAGAACTTTACTTTTTTCCATGGTTTAGGTGCAATTGTAGAACATTAGGGCTATGGTATATGTGTGCTACACTATAGGATACCGTATTAATCAAAAGACCAAATTTTCTTAACCCGTGTCCTCTCCCGTAACTGCAACAAGCATTTTATACTTATCTGCCAACCCCGTACGAAGGACGGGTACTCTGCTAGTCTTTAATATAAATAAACAATACATTCATATTTTATTCACTCAAATTTTAAATAGTCCTTTATTTAAAAAATATGAAACTAAGTTAAATTGAATGTTCAATCAAATTTATTCGAATCTTTCAATGTTGATTTGAATGTTGATTATGGACCCATTCAAGAATTTCTGTGTAGTGTGTCAAATGGACCAGTCTCAACTGTACATAACTAAATAGCTCGGTGTGGTCTGCAGCTCTGTACACATCCACACATACATACAACACTTCAAAAACCACTTTTTGGGTTAAGGGTGACCCAAAACGGATATATTCACTCAAAATTCAATCTTGAAAATTTTTACGAAAACAATACTTTCTCCATATCCTATATGGTATAGGGGTAGAAAGTAAAACAATAAACAATAAAGTGGAAAAATTATAGAAATATTAGTAAGGTTATGTTACTCTACAGGTCTAAATTAAAAAGAGGGTTGTAAAAACTTGTTGTTGGTAGTAAGGTGAAAACTATCATACGCAATACACCAGAGAAGGTGTTTACCGTATTCACATGAAATCCCTAACTCGGCACGCCTCACACGGGAACTATCGTGCCTGTCCCTTAAACACCTACTTCCCGATCTTGTAGCCTAAAGTGCCTTTTTTTTAAGTTAAAGTAATGTATTATTTTAATTTTTTCTAACATGTTGTAGTCTTACAGGATCTTTAGAATTATGGTAAATTCCTGTTTTTGTACGTAGAAAATTCCATTGAATTAAAGAACAATACTCTATAACGGTAAATTATATCATTAGACACTCTGTCAGAATTGTACCTCTAACATAGACGATAAAAGAATAATACTCTCAGTTGATTTAACACGGTTCCCGAGCCGAAGACAGTATTAGCATTGCTAATGCGTACATCAACTCAGCCTTTATCCGGAACACATTTCCAACATTTGTTTTCATTCTGTTTATTTAGTAATAAACGCGCCTTAGGCTTTGAATAATTTAATCCTACTCAACAAAATACGAAGCTTATGAAAAGTAATGAGTCTTCAGTTATTGTTAAAACGACATATTCAAATATATCTCAGTAGCTCTTATTTGTTTTAATTGGTGCTATTATCACGTTAAAAGTCAATATGACTCAAATTTATATAACAACCAATATTTATTACAAGGTTTTGTACAGTAATTATGATTGAATCTATGTGAACATTTTTCTTGAAACTTGTTAATATCTAGATATTTTAGTATTTGTTAAGGGTTCGCTGGGTCAAAGTGAAAGAGTGTATAAAAAAAGCGCAGCTAGATACATATGGAGATCCGCATCTGCATTTCTCAAACATAAGATCGCCAAGTCCTTATATTATAAGAATTATTAGTTCTTTGTTCTAATTAAATATGCTATACATAAGTTTAAAAACTATACATACAAAAACACGTACGTAACTCTGGCCCAGTGATGTGTTATGAGCATTACTGTACTTGTTTTATTAAAATAATCTGTATTCTAATGTTTAGCGTCGTGATTATATCAAACATATCGCTATCGTTACTTTGGTAAATGTTTCTTTGCATCTAAAGAAAATCCAAATGAATATTTGAGGACAGTAAGTGCCGAATGACTCTTTACCTAACTAATTGTATTTGGATTCTACATTATGCGTATTTCATGTAAACATTGATGTAACGTTTATTTTAACAACACAATCTCAATCATTGCTTATTGACCCGAATCTCATTTACACCTTTTAATTCAAAATACCCTTGAAAGTATCGAGTACATTATTTATTTTAGAATAGATAATTTCATCTTTATAAATTTATTTTGAAACTTTAATATTGAATTTGAGGCATTTGGTGATTTTGGCGGTACAAAGTACGTAGTTTAATGCTGCTAAACATATATCCGTATTTTTTACGTTAAATTTGTTATCTCACAGAATCTTAAATTGTTAAATTTATGACCTAGAAAGTCATGGTTTAGCTTCAAAAACTACAGCGAAAATAAAACAATGTTATGCTAGCGACACGACGTCTAGATATTCTCAAGAAATACAGAATGTTTAGGTTTATCTCTACTGGCTGCATTGTATGAATACCGCCCTCAGTAACGTCACACTGCTGCATGTTCAACTCGTCCATGTTTTGTTTGTTCAGCTCACATTTGAGACAGACAGAAATACAAGTAATCTTATACAGGCTGTTCAGTAAATAATCAGCCAAGCTTCCAAAAATGTCTCGTTAACGAGATATCCACCATTTAGCGTTTTAGTATTTAAACTGAATGACTATTAAGGATGTCTTTATAAAATGTATACGATATAAATTTGTAAACAACTATTTGCATGAATATATTAATTAAAAATTATTTTATGGCTTTAAAATGACAGCCGTTATAATGTTTATATCTTATTTAGTAAAACTTTGCTGCTTTATGTAAAAAATAAGAACGCTTTTAGCATTTAGCATTCAAAATTTCGTATCTACAGCTCAAAAAACTTGTTAACACTAACCAAAAAACTGTGGAATAATGAATTGACAAAAAAACAAACAAGGCAAAAATTAGGCCAACCTCTCAGTGTGCGTCTCAATGTGCACATAAAAATCATGCACTCATGAAAAAAATGAAGCCACAAAACAATGTTTATCGTCGATTAATTATAATCCAGTAAATATACAAATTATTTCGTATTATTTGTTTAACATTAGTTTGTCATGCGTATAAATGGATTAGGCTCCCTCTTTCTCTTTAACACCACTTGTCAATATGTCTGTTAATGTGTCAATTTAAAAAAATGTTATCCTACATACGACTTTCGACCAAAATTGTGTTTTATGAAAAGTGACTTTGTAAATCGAACAGTTATTTTCAAGAGTGTGACCATTTAGATTTAGGTGTGTATTATTATTTTATTTTATTTTATTTACATGCTTCAATACAGTATACACCATTTACATTGAAGCAGTCCATGCACTTATAATAATTTCTGCAGTGGGTTTCTTCTTGTCCATTCACTTCAATCTAACTTACACTTTCATGCTATGCAATAACAACATAAAAAATAAAATTTCCAATAACTATAACAACAATATAAAAATATTTAAAAAAGACTAACAATGATAAATTATATAAACACATAAATACTGAATAGTTTAAATATTGAATTATGTCTAGTATAACAAATCTTTGTCCGCTGTAAGATGATATGCAATGAAGATATTGTATATTGTTCAAAATACAATGGTGATTAAAATTTATTTTGATTTATGCATTGAAGTGATGAGTTGTTGAGTTATCTTTAGCTCAATTGACCACGCAGCCCAACCTTTTTAGATATAAGGCCCAGATAAACGGAACCACTACCATATAGTAAAAATTTATTGTTAATTGTAGTTTTATAAGATTGTTTGACCATATGTACTGTAATTAATGTATACCTTTTACATTACGACTTACAAACATTTAAACATGCATTATCATACCAATTATCCGACGATAAATGTATGTAATATACCCTTTTTAATATGTTAACTATAACTCAAATAAATTCATACATTTGGTCTATTTGCTGTTGGAAGTTCATTGTGATGGTGAGTTTATGTTATTAAAAAAATGATTGTGAACGTATCATACTAATATTAAAAATTAATGTGAAAGTTTATGTGTGTGTGTTTTTTTTTTTTTATATCAATCACGTATCATTATAGCTTACGTTTCCGATCAATAGACATGCTCTTATCTCTTCTTCAGTAATTTGTTATATTTTGCAAATATTTTGTATTTTACTTTATTATATTGTTTAGTGGTAAAAAAAGGTGGTAGAACCTTATTATGCTATGGTATATGTATTATACTGTAGACTTATACGCCAAGCCCGTACGAAGGACGGGTACTCTGCTAGTGGTTTATATTTCTTATGATACATAATATACAATCTCAGTTGCCCAAATGTTTCAGAGGGAGGATGCACGTGGTGTTGGTGCTGCTACTGACGTCACCAGCGTTGTGTGACAAGTTCCTGTTGGGTTATCTGACAGGCTCACAGCGACGACCTGGGGACAGAGAATATCAGCGACCAGGCCTTACCATCTCAGGTGAGTGTACTTTGTATTGACATACCAAACCCCTGTATGGCTTTACTGCATGTACCATCCGTACAGTTGCTTAGATTGTTTATACTCATGACGTTATTAACAATGATATGTATTATCATTATTATCAAAATATAATTTAAAAGGTTCTCTTGGGGTAATTTAAAATCATTTCCCACCATTCGTTGCTGAGAAGTAATTACATATTCCTAATGTGTAAATGTTGGATTTAAGTTGTAATTTACTATGCTCAATTCCGGTCAATTATATTTGAAACAAACATTAACGTTCACAGATTTCTAGAATGATTTGTTTTCACACAATAACTACATGCAATACAAATTGTAACGCATAATGTAATGGTTTAGATTATATTGCATAACCGATTAACTCATTGTCTACAATAATGTTTAGTCTACCCATAACACTTTCAAAATTAAATATGTCTTAGCTCTTAAAGCTACTTTGTATACGACTTTTTTACTTTACTTTTATCACAGGTGCGATCAGCTTGGCCATAGAAGAAGTTAACAGTGGCCAGCTAGGATCACTAGGCCACTCTCTAGACCTTGTAGTGGCCGAGACGTACGGCGAGGAGACGAGCTCCATCCGCCAGGTTGCAGCTCTGTGGACCAGGAACGTGTCTGTGTACATCGGGCCTCAGGAGACGTGTGTACATGAGGGCCGCATGGCAGCTGCCTTCAACCTGCCCATCATCTCTTACGTGAGGATTGTTGTTGATTACTCTGTTAGGTTGTTGTTCGAAATTTTAATTGTAATTTTGTCAACACTTAGATTGTACAAGGTTTATTACTCACTCAATTTAAAGAATAGCAACACACTGATATTATTATAATAATCTTCAAACCTTTTACTGTTAAAATCTATGGTTCTACTAATACCTTTCATAGACAAGAGCCAGTCATCCTCAAGTTGATCCCGTGCAGAATGTACATAGTATACTATCCTAAGTAGGGTAAGGTGATTAAATAAATACTTAGTTCACCAAGGTCAAATTTAGTCGATGACAGTTTTTATTTTAAACTAGTATACTTTAGACTTTTGGTGTTAACTTCGATTAAGACTTTTTATCAACGTCTGCAAAGTAAAATAAGCACAGCATTAGATTTTAGTATCTTACAGTGATTATACTTAAGGTTCACTTAATCAAATTGTGTATCACAGAAAACATTTCACCTTGCCAGATTTACAAAGCCAAACTAATACATTTTTTTAGTTCTTTAACGAAGATATCACTATTCAATCTGAGCATATGCCCCTTGTGTCACGAATGCAAAAACCTATCAATAAAGTACGGAATAATATGAAACAAGTAATCCCTAGTGACCAGGTTATTGCTCCCATTGATAAGACAGCACAGTGTGAGGCATCTCAAGTTGCTCTTGGGTGCTGTTTGCTAAAAAATGTCTCATGTATTTGAAACTAATTAATAAAAAATAATCATCAGCGGGTAGTTTATACAAATGTCATTTTTCTGATAAAAAAAGTATAAGAATATTAATTGTTTTTGGATTTGTTTGATCATAATCGAGTTGAAGACATTGTGCGGTGGACTTAGGGGAGCTGAAGGATAGAATGAATAGTCCCATAGGATTACAGCATTGTTTGTTTTTAATCTTTTCGTCGCGTCTCTGTTTCTCTGATTACGATGTTTTTCGTTGAGTTTGTCTTTATAAAAGTGCAATCCATACTAAGTACACGATCATTCTGTAGATTCAGAGGATAATCGTGAGGCGAATATAGGCTACTTTTCCTTTGGTATTTTCTCTCGTAAGAATGTTTAGTTTTATTAACAAACGTATATTTAAATAACGAAGTAGTAATATTTTTGCGAATCAATTAAATTTCCATAATACTACAAAACATAACTAAAACATTGTTTTGTAGCACACATGGGTTGCTGCTCATTATTAATCAGCTGTTTAGTGCACTTCATGTTAAACTTGGATCAGCCGTTTATTAGTATGCACCAAATTGGTTATAGTAGAAAAAGTAAACATTAGATGTTCTATGTCAACATTTGTGCTAAAACAGTATTGTTGTTTTGTTTTCATGTAGCTAGCTTATACTGTAGTATAACCTAGAACACACACGCGTGAGGAATACAGTGATATGCATAAATGATTTATTAATAATAAACAGTTGATCCATGTTAAGCATGAAGTTGGCAGAAAACAGCTGATTAATGACGGGTAGCGTCTCATATGTGCCGTAAGACAGCGTATTATGTATGTATTGTTGTGTTATGAAATTACATTGATCTGCAAAAATTATTACTAATTGGTTATTTACTATTAGATTTTAGTAAATAAGGTGTCGGTTGAATTAGCTTTTATATGAGCATTTCTTACCTACCTTAATATTGTTTTATAGCTCTGACGGTTTTCGTGAAAATTTGCATTACAACTTTTATACGGCAGCAATTTTGGAATTGGTTTAGGTACAGCAACGATATCTCATACCCTTATTTACCTATCAAGGTATGTATATAAAATTTGATGTTTCTATCTTGAATAAATCTTGAGTTTTAATATAGTTTATAAAAAACGCATACAGACCGACAGACAAAAAACTACTCAGTGGAGAGCCAATGTTTATATTGTGAAATGAGTTTGCCCCGTCCTAAGGAATAAATATTTTTATGAAATGTTCAAAAGAGTTCTAGGACTCCCTTCATATTTAAGGTATATTCAAACTAGACCGTGGTATATAAAACGAACACTCATTGTGTTTTTATTGGGTTTCTCTTTATTAAAGTTGAAAAGGTGTAACAGAGAAATCTAAGTGGATAATTAATACATTCATTTGTCTTCACTATATTTGAAGTTCGTCAGTTATTTCATAATACTTTGGATTATTTTGAAATGTCAAAACACCGTTGTCAAATGTCAAATGTTTAAAACACGAAACATGTAACCGTTTGTGGCAGTTACATTAATGTATCTGCAAAACTAAAATGCAATGGGAAGGTAAGTGATCAGGTCCATGGCATTGGAGATGGTGAAGGAAGTAGTGAAGGCTGACAGTTCGGAGTGTGGGAACCGTTTGTGGCAGTTACATTAATGTATCTGCAAAACTAAAATGCTATGGGAAGGTAGGTGATCAGGTCCATGGCATTGGAGATGGTGAAGGAAGTAGTGAAGGCTAACAGTTCGGAGTGTGGGAACCGTTTGTGGCAGTTACATTAATGTATCTGCAAAACTAAAATGCTATGGGAAGGTAGGTGATCAGGTCCATGGCATTGGAGATGGTGAAGGAAGTAGTGAAGGCTGACAGTTCGGAGTGTGGGAACCGTTTGTGGCAGTTACATTAATGTATCTGCAAAACTAAAATGCAATGGGAAGGTAAGTGATCAGGTCCATGGCATTGGAGATGGTGAAGGAAGTAGTGAAGGCTGACAGTTCGGAGTGTGGGAACCGTTTGTGGCAGTTACATTAATGTATCTGCAAAACTAAAATGCTATGGGAAGGTAAGTAATCAGGTCCATGGCATTGGAGATGGTGAAGGAAGTAGTGAAGGCTGACAGTTCGGAGTGTGGGAACCGTTTGTGGCAGTTACATTAATGTATCTGCAAAACTAAAATGCTATGGGAAGGTAGGTGATCAGGTCCATGGCATTGGAGATGGTGAAGGAAGTAGTGAAGGCTGACAGTTCGGAGTGTGGGAACCGTTTGTGGCAGTTACATTAATGTATTTGCAAAACTAAAATGCTATGGGAAGGTAGGTGATCAGGTCCATGGCATTGGAGATGGTGAAGGAAGTAGTGAAGGCTGACAGTTCGGAGTGTGGGAACCGTTTGTGGCAGTTACATTAATGTATTTGCAAAACTAAAATGCTATGGGAAGGTATGGAAACAGGTCCACGACGTAGGAAGTCGATTTGTTTCAACCAGAACCACCAGGTTTACCAGATTGCATTAGCAAGCAAACACAGGAAAAAATACCTATTCAAAGGATATGTATGTAATGTCCACATGTTTACTAATGAAATTGTTCCATTATAGTTTCTTATAGTTCTGAGCGAAACTGATAAGTAAATTATGAAATAGTTGGGTTTTGTATTATATCTATAAACATTTTATTTATTTATTGCTTTATTATAAACCATGACACTTCATTGCTCCGCTCAACTGGTTTTCAATTCTATGAAAGCGATTCTAGTTATACCTTCACATGTTATTAATTTTATAGCCAGTACCATCTATATTCATCTAGTTTTGAATATATTTAATACTGTAAAAGCAAATTAAATCCTTTATAAACCCTTTACTAAAACCGTTAGTGTACAATTATGGCGATAGGCCTACATACTTTAATAATCTAAAATACTTGTAAATGCTATTTCCATAAATCATTTCAGTACTCTACTTAGTAAGTTAGTGACACTTCCTCTCACAGGTTTTCATGTGTCAACAGAAGTTTCTTGTGATGCCTGTGCTGTGATCTTATTTGGATTGAAATATCCTCTTAAGAGAAATTGATAAGGAGCAATTAATGTTGTAGGAATTTCGTAATTTGAAAAGGTTTTGTTTGTTTACAAAATAAAAAAACCTTTTGTCTTCAGTCAACATTCTTACATAGTTTTGTTAACAGATTTTTACTTTTATTGAAATACTTTATTTCGATTGTTGAAAATCCCAACATAGGTTTTAATATGGATTATTAATACGCTAAATGAAACATTGTGAACAATAAGGCTTTTTTGTTTACGATTTGACCCCACATATTATACCAAAATTAAAGAAAGTGTAGCTTTTTTCTGGTCAATATCATACTTAATACTAAGATTCATGATTGTAAGAAAATGCTATTATTCTAAAGTCATCTTAGTCAAGTTCCAACCGGCTCACTTGATATATTGTAAAATTATCGAGTTGTACAAAAATATTGTCTCGCTTACGTCTTAAAATTCAACAACGGCTTCCCTATTACTACTGAAAATTAATCACGTGTCACCCATGATAAGCCTGTTTTTAAACTATAACTTCTTACTTAAATATTAAAAGCTCTCAAACATTCGATTAAATTAAAACAAAACTAACAGATTTCGAACCAAAAACTACCTTGATTATCGTCAGCTGAATAGCAAAGTAGTGAGCTGAGAACAGCTTTTCCGAGAGCTCGACAAACAGTAGTTGATCACTTCAACAAAGGATCTGTCCTACTTAGCCTTTCTATTCTATTGTCTCAAACATTTAATATTGAATGCAGATTTGAATGATAAAACCTAACTTAAAAATAAAATAAATAAAAAAGGCCTTTATTTGCGAGCGAGTTTCATAATACATGGTTTTCAAACTAACTCAAGTCACTAAATCTAAACTATCCTAATATATTTACATAAGTATATACAAACAAATTACAACAGAATAATTACAATATACATTTTACATTTGTTTTTTTCATTGCGGCCCTGAATGTGTTGTACGATTTTGAACACTTGATCTCTTGAGGGAGGCCATTGTACAACCGCGGGCCGAAATAAGAAAAAGACTTTCTTCCAGCCTCAAGCCTCACTTTAGGAAAGTGAAGCTTGCGGTCGGAGCGAGTACTACGCAGACAGATCTCCCTCCTGTACTTCAGCCTCTCGCTGAGGTAATGAGGCTCTCCCAGCGTGAGCACTTTGTGGACCAGGCAGCAGGTCAGCTTTCTGCACATGTCATCCATTGGGATGAGCTTAGCAGCATCTCTGTAGGAGGACACGT